TGCCTGAACCCAGGAGGCGGAGGTTGCAGTGAGCCGAGATCGGGCCATTGCACTCCAGCCTGGGTAACAAGAGCGAAACTCCGTCTCAAAAAAAAAAAAAAAAAAAAAAAAAAATCAGCATCTATGCACCTCTGAGTTTCAAACTCAGTAGTAGCAATCACAGACATAGCCGCTGTTGACTGAGGTCTTCGGACTGTTGGAAGGCATTTACATACAATATGGCATCAACCCTTTGTCAGGTCACATTACTGGCCCATTTCACAGATGAAGAAACCAGAGAGTTTCATTAACATGCCCAATATTTTTGGCAAGTACAAATGGCAGAGCAGGTCATTGAATTCAGGTCGATAGGAAGCCAAAGGTTGTGTTTTCCTGACCGTTCCGCATTTCCTGTGGAGTCCAGAAGATGGTATATGTGAGAGTGACTGGCACAAAGTAAGGGCTTTATGACTGTGAGCAATGGTCCTGGTTGGGGCCAAAAGCCAGGCTTTGGGGTCAATTCGGCTTCAAAGGCTTGCTCCATGTGGACTAGCAGTGGGATCTTGAACGAGTTGCTTAAAATCCAGAAGCTACTTTGCATTTCAGTTTCATTCATTATCTGTGAAAGGAAGGTGGTAATTAAACCTCACAATCCTGTTATGATTCAGCAATGAAGCCTTATGTTTGACCAAGTGTTTGGCCCGTGGTGGGTGTTCCGAGTCCATTAGCAACCTCTGCCTTCCTAGATGTTTAGGGCTCCTCTCCTTAAACGAGGGCTTCTCAGCTGCAGCACTGCCGATACTTTGGGCTGTACAATTCTCTATTGTGGGAGATTATCCTGGGCATTGAAGGTCCTTTAGCAACATCTTTGGCCTCCACTCACTAAATGCTGGCTGAATCAACCAAAAATGTTTCCAGACGTTGCCAAACTTACCCTGGGGGCTAAACTCACCCACCCCTGTGAGAACTCTTTCCTTGGTCACACGCATTGCCAAATTCACTGAATGTGGTGCACACATTGTTCACGCTCTGGGTGTCCCTTCACTGAGCAGCAGACAAAGGCAGGGAGACCCGCATGGCTGGCGGGGGCGGGCTGTCGTCAGCCTGTGGTGGCCAGTGTTGTTGCCTTTGGAGGATTGGCACCCAGCTCACTATTTCAGCTGACAATTATCTGAACAGAAGTGCTCTAATTGCCTGAGGATCGGGTTTCCTCTGGGGGTCATTTTTTTTTTCAAGTCTCCTGTTGTTGTTTATTTATACTCATCCCAATAAAAAGCATGTGCTCAGCTGCGTAGATTGTTAATGATGGGAGGGTCGCTGCAGACAGCGCCTGGGGAAGCATCTGCAAATTCATCCCCCAGAGGTTCCTCATCCACTGGATCTGTCTGGCAAGGCCGGGGTGGGGTCTTAGATAAATGCATGTGCATGTGCATGAGTGTGTGTGTGTGTGTGTGTGTGTGTGTGTACTGAGAAATGGGTGTTTGTTGTTTCTCTAAGTTCATACTTGTAATAACACAAGCACCTCCTCCTAGGAAATTTCTTTCTTCACGTCTGGCCACCAAACTGGGTCTCCGCCAGCTCATACTTCCTGCACCCCGTGCCAGGCCTCTGTGGCTTTCAACTTGATTCTTGGCGTGCTAAGACCCAAGGGAGTCCTACCTGGCTCTCCCCCAGCAGGGGAGCGAATGCAGTTAATGAGGAAGCCATACATATGTGTAGCACTTCATGGTGAACAAGGTGCTTTCTTATCGGTCATCCTTATGATAAGGATATCAAATACGTCATCTTTTATTCAACACTAACTCTGTGCCAGCCACTATACAGCCTGCGTTCCTCCTTTCATTCATTCAAGCAAGCATGCCTGCCTTTATCCAAACTGATAAATGATGAGTGCTGATAAATATGCCACAGCCCGGCTGTCACTCGAGTGGTGGGGTGGTGAGAAACAATTGCCCTTCTCCCCCCATCAACCACACAATGGCAGGCAAAGAAATGAATAAATGAATAAGATAATTGCTGTTGCTGATAAATGTTGGAGATGAAGTAAAGCTGCGGAAACGTGATAGAGATTTGCCGAGAAGAAGGGACTTTGTAAACATGTAGATGTCTTCAGGGAAGACCTCAGACCAAGCTCTTAAGGACAGAGGACAAGAAAATTCCTGAAAGGGAAACACCCAAGAAAATGCCTGCAGGCGGCAACATGGTTGAATTGCTCAGGGAACAGAAAGGCATCCAGGGTGTCTAGAGCCTAGAGAAGTGGGGGCAAGAGGGGCCCGTCGGAGGGAGGGTGTACTCAGGGAGACCAGGAACTCGACTTTTTCAGCCATGACGAAGAGTCGGAATTTTGTTCTAAGGACAATGGAAGCCATTGGAAGGTTTTCTGTGTCAAAGCGATGTGATCTGACATAAGCTTTACAAAGCCCACATTGTCTACCGTGCAGAAAATGGAGTAATGAGCCAAGAGATACCCTAGGGAGACCAGTCAAGAGACTGAGACAGTCAGGAGGTGGGTGATTTTCCCATTGCTGCTGTAAAAAGCTTACCACAAATCTCGTGTGGCTTAAAAAAGCATACATTTGTTATCCCATGGTTTTGTAGGTCAGAAATCTGACATGGGTCTCACTGGGTTAAAATCCACTTGTCAGCAGCGCTGTGTTCCTTCTAGAAGCTCCATTCCTTGCCTTCCCCAGCTTCTAGAGGCCAACTGTAGTTGCAGGCTGTGGGTTCTCGCCCATCTTGAAGAACAGAAATACGACGTTTTCAAATCTCCTTCTTCCGGTCTCTCTCTCTCCATCATCATCTCTCCACTTACTCTGACCCTCCTGCCTCCCTCTCTTAAGGACCCCTGTGATTACATTGGGCTTGACATAGTTTGGATCTGTGTTCCTGCCCAAATCTCATTATTGACACGTGGTTCCCAGTGTGGGAGGTGGGGCCTGGCAGAAGGTGACTGGATCACGGGGGTGGATTTCTCATGAATGAGGTCAGGACCATCCCCCTTGGTGCTGTCCTCTCGATAGTAAGTGAATTCTCATGAGATCTGGTCATTAAAAATGGGGAGCATCTCTCCCTGGCTGTCTTGTTCCTGCTTTCACCATTTCAGTGATTTGCCTTCCACCATGAATATAGAAGCTTCCAGAAGCCTCCCCAGAAGGAGATTCTGCCATGCTTTCTGCAGAACCATGAGCCAGTTACACCTCTTTTCTTATAAATGACCCAGTCTCAGATGTTTCTTTATAGCAGTGCAGGAATGGACTAACCCCGGGCTCATCTAGACAACCAGGATACTCTCCCCACCTCAAGGTCCTTAGCTTAATCGTGTCTTAAAAGTCCCTTTTGACAGGTGAGGTCACCCAGTCACTGGTTTCGGGGATTTGGGGTAGTGGGCACCTTTGGGGTCTATTACTCTGCCGATATCGGGAAATGAGCCACGATGGAGGCTTGGATGGTGCCAGTGGGACTGGAGGCCGTAAGTGCATTAGGGATTTATTCTGAGGCAGAACCACAAAGACTTGCTGATGGAGGGTGTGGGGCTTTAAGGGAAAGCCCAGAATCAAAAGGGTGCCCTTTACTGGGATGGGGAAGAGAGGGCAGGGCTTGAGTGGAGAGGAGAGGCTGATCAAGGGGTTCTGTGTGATGATTATTTTGAGTTGCCCCCTGGACAGTTGAGGGGAAATGTCCAGCAGGCAGCTGGATGGATGAGCCTGGAGTCAAGGGCAGAAGCTGGGCTAGTGATGTGAGTGTGGGGGTCTCCAGCCCAGAGGCAGGACGTGGCCACAGGACAGGGTGAAAGCTTCCATGACGTCAGGAGGAGCAGAAGGTCATGGGTCAAAGAGGTCAAAGAGGAGAAGCCAGCAAAAGTAGACCCCCACTCTGACCTCGCCACCCAGTGCCTGGACACTTGTCTCAGCAATTCGTTTCAACATCTGCACCTGGGAATAGAGAGGGCCCCCACCTTGAGACTGCTCACTGTATGCCGAGAACAGTGCTTAATTCCTTACATACGTTATTGCATTTCAGATCTCCTTTCTCCCCTTCCTTCTTCCCCCTTTGGGGGAAGGGTGGGAGTGGTGGTGTGGGACTGAGTAGGTAAGGTGGAGCGGTGGGGGTGGGCTTGAGTGAGGAGGGTGGGAGTGATAGGGGTGGGCTTGAGTGTGGAGGGTGGGGATGAGGCCAAGTGGGGAGGGTGGGAAAGGTGGGCAGGATTCCAGCCAAGGTGGGAACTTTGTTTTTTTGAGATCAGAGGGCATGCATGAAGGTTGTGGACAAGGGCTGCCAGCCTGCAGGTGGGACGCAAATGCAGAGTGAAAGTGCAGCCGCCAGGTCCGGGGTGCATTTTACAGAGGTCAGGCTGGGGGTCGTGGTGTGGACCGGAAGAAAGGTCAGGAACTGGGATCACAGTTAGTGGTTCAGAAAAGTCATGCAATGCCAGAGGCTGAGTCATTTGGCTTTGTTCGCACACCAGCAAGTTCAAAGCCAGTTCAGTTGTGTTGCAAAGCCAATATGCTAAGTCACCGTAATTTCACAGCAGGTTTCCCCTCAAGGTATCGTGACATTATTTTTGTGGTCTCAACCAACCAGCATTTGTCAAAGGGAGAGGGAGAGAGAGAATGGAAGGAAGGAAGGAAAAAAGGAAGGAAGGAAAGAAGGAAGGAAGGAAAGAAGGAAGGAAGGGAAGAAGGAAGGAAGGGAAGGAGGGAAGGAAGAAAGGAAATAGAATAGAACAGAACCACAGTTGATTGCATGTAGTGAAGGGAAGGGCTGCTGCCTATGTTTGTGTTTCTATGCTGTGTGCTTATCTGCAGATGGATGTACCAGGCTGTGATATGAAACCTATTTTTACGGCTGGTTGTGGCTCCTCTGAGCTGCTATTGGGTTTGACCTCCACCCCCTCTCACGCTGATTTTGGGTCCTTTGAAATGAGTCTTAGAGAGTCATTCCCCACCCGACTCTGCTGTACACCTCATGGTTTCTGATAATAGAGCATTGTGAAGTCGGAGGAAGGCTGGCAGAGGGGCCCGGTCCAGTCTGTGACCTGAGCCACCACGGCAGGGTGTCCAGGGTGAGGGGAAGGTGGTGTGAATCCCCAGTAATGCAGGTCCTTCCCAGCCCAGGTCCCGGGTACCCAGGGGCTGCCGGAGGTCTACTGCTGTCCTTTCCAGAGCTGCCACCCCCCAGCGATGACTCAGGGTCCCGGTGGCCCCAGCATCATCCCTCCATCCCTGACTGGAAGGCAGGAGCACAGTTGCAGAGCTGAGAGGCCTTTAATTTGTTTGATGTAAGACTTTGCTGCGAGACCAGGGGCTTTGCCTGTGAGGTCTAGCTTGGCCTGGCCTCTGAGAAAGAGCAAACACAGACCTCACTGGAAGGAGCCTAGAGAACAGGAGAGGAGCGGCTGCTGCTGTGTGCCCTCCCAGCGGCAGGTATAAAGACAAGGGGCTTCTGAGTCCCCTGGAATCCCAGCTGTGTAATCGAAGGCGGGTTCATCTCTCGGAGCCTCAGTTTCCTCATTTGCAGGTGCCTGTCATTCTCCTTCATAGCCATTGTCACTCTTGCAATGATAGCAGAAATGCTTACATTTCCGATACATCCCCAGCCGGGTGGTAAGGAAGGTCAAGACCCTCTCTTATCACCTCTGTATCAGCTCCCTTCTACCTTGCCTCCCTCCACCTGGAGCCTGTTCTGGCTGGTGAAATGGAGCCAGAGTTTCCTGGAAAGGCTTTCCATCTCAAGTAAAGTCTGGCTCAGAGAAAACCACTGGTCTCTTTCCTTTTCTTTCTCTAGACATGAACATGGGGCACGAAGAACATGGGGAAGACAAGGACCAGGTTCTCAGAAGGAGCTGCTGTGGGGGAAGCCTTGAGAACTGGAGGAGGTGAGAAGGGTGGGAGAGGAGGTGAGGGGGGAGGGGGAGGTCCTGGAGGAGGTGAGAAGGGTGGGAGAGGTGGGGGTGTGGTTGAGGGGGAAGGGTGGGAGTGGTGGGTGTGCTTTGGAGATACAGCAGCCACTTTGGGACCATGGGGATGTTTGAAAGAGATGAAGAACAGAATGACAGAAGCACATTGGTGACATCGGGACATACAGCAGACTCTATGCCCACCTTTCGATTTCTCATCTATGTAAACACTGAAATCTGGTCTTTTACTTGCAGGTAAATACAATTTCTGACTTACATAATGATATGTATGCACCAGAAGGCTCTCCTTGTGTGTATTTATTCAGCAAACAGTTATGGAGTCCTTACAATGTGCTCGTGGATCTTTGAAGATGAATCCAATTTCGATCCTGAAAAGTCTCAAAGCCTAATGCAGGAGGTAAGAAATGTAGAATCCACATAACGATGGTGTCTTCCCCCCCCCTTAAGATCTAGTTATGAGTAGCTGCAATTGCTGTGAATTCCAAGCTGGTTTTACCACCTCAAGTTCACATTTAGATCTGACTTAGGGTTTCTGTTAGGAAGTTCCCATCTCTACGTCTCATTTCTGTTCCTTTATTTCTGCCAGCCTGGATCGAAATGTGAAACTTGTCTTCTTTTATTAACCAATCAACCACCTCCTGCCAAAAACAAAAAACAAGAGACTTTGCTTACACAAGACCTTTGTTTCTACAGCAGACTTGGCTGAAGGTTTGGGCAGGCATGCCACCAAAATTATAAAAGGAAAACTGAACACTTCTCTCCTTCAAAGTTACTTGGTCTCTCCTGCAGGGACTCCCCCTTATCTCTGCTCTTCTCCTTGCACTTTTACCACCTCACTTACTCCCGTGGCATGCTACATCCTTGAATATATATGCCCGTGGCAGATGTGGTAATGAAGATTGGTTGAGAATTCTGAAGGCAGATGGCCCAGATGTCAATCACACAATTTCTCTGTGGCTCAGTTTCTTATCTGCAAAAAGGGAGCTAACTATGGAGTCCCTTCAAGCTCACTCAATAGTTGACTCCATCTTACCTCACTACTTTTTTTTTCTCCTAAAACCCAACTTTGCATTGTTTGTCAAACATCGTTTGCTCCAATAGTGACTCCATCACCCCCAACGCCTACAAACCCGCCTCACAGAATGGGGAGAGGATTGAGTGGGCAGTCGCTGGTATAGACGCCACAGGCTCTACGGCACCGAATATCATTCATATTCTGGTTCAGTATTCTGTGTCCCCAACTGCCCCAAGACAAGTTCATTTAAAACAACAAAGCTTCTATCTCAGGTGGAAAACCCATCAGCACTGGGCATTGTCTTCCAGTGATTCTGAGCAGAGATAACGAAGAATGTGTGTCTTCATTGTGACTCAGCGGGCAAAGACATGGAGTCATAAAAAAGTGGGAGATTTGGGGCGACTGACAAATTTGGCCCACTGATTCCATTCCCATAGACCAACACAGGTCCATCAAATTGAATCATTCTTATGCAGAATTTAATGGAACTCCAGTGCCCATTGTGTTAGTTTTTGATGACGGAACCCTCTTTCTCTGTAAACTTGAACTTGAGGGGTAGGGCTACCCCTCTAAATCTCTGTTTTGTGATAAAATCGTGTAACATAAAATTCAGCCCTTTAATGTGTACAATTCAGTGGTTTTGGTATATTTACAATGTCCATCACCACAATCACCATCACCACAACCATCACCACAATCTTATTACAGAGCATTTTTATCTCCTTAAAAAGCAGCCGCTCCCCATTCCCCCATCTGCAGCCCATGGCAACCCCTAATCTATGTTTTGTCTCTGTGGCCAGTCAGAGACTTCTGGTACCAATCTCTCCAGTCTATGAGCTGTGAACTCCCTTTTTAGCAGATTTGGCCCTGCCACCTGCCACCTACCTTTGTGCCTGGATACGAAGATGGAATCTTTCCTTGCAAACCAACTTTGCATTGTTTGCCTAACATTTGAACCTCCTTCATTTGAATCTGTGTAACTGCTCAGTGTATGGCCTGTGGTAGGAGGAGGCAGTGGCTGTCTTTCTCTATTAAGGCTCAAAAAGATAGACTCACGCTTTCCCAGACTCCCTTGCAGCGAGTTCTTAGACGCGTTTGCTACGCTCAAGCTCAACCAATGACTATGAATCTGGAGCCAGTGGCCTGAAAAGTCAGGGGTCGTCGAGAATTTTTCCTGGCAGTGTGGTGGTAGCAGTAGCAATGTCAAAGGCCTACCAGCAGCAGGACTGTGGGCCCATGGCACCGGCTTAAAGCTCAGTGGCACTAATATCTGCATTGGACTGGCTGGTTCTGATTCTGGTCATCTCTTAGACTCCCTTGCTCCTGGCCACTGTTTAAGCTGACCCCCCCACCCCCCAGCCTCCTTGGCTATTGACTGAGCTAGATGCTATCTATAAAGTAGATTTCATTTCAGTTAAAGTCATCTAGAGTTGGTTTCCATGCTTCTAGTCAAGGACCCTACCTGAAAGAAGTATTTTACGAGTAGAGTCTTAACCAGAATGGGTCACAGAGTTTTGCTCCAGAATACAGCAATTGACAGGGCACCATATTTTGAAGCTTGAACTCCCTCTCCCGTGCTCTTCCTTATTCCTGTTGCAGTGCTGAGCTAGCTGCTGCTTCTGGGGCCATCTCCTTAGCAGCAGGTGAACAAAGACAGAGATGGAGACTTCAGATCAAAGGCATTGAGTGCCTGACCAGGGGTCCCTCTGGGAGGGAGGAGAACAAGTCCCCTCCTTTTTCTCTGAATCTTCTTGTTTAGAAACTGAGTTTCTGGGTCAGGTGTGGTGGCTTATGCCTATAATCCCAGCACTTTGGGAGGCCAAGGTGGGTGGATCACTTGAGGTCAGGAGATTGAGACCAGCCTGGCCAACATGGCGAAACCCCATCTTAACTAAAAATACAAAAAGTAGCTGAGCATGGTGGTGTGCGCCTGTAATCCCAGCTACTCAAGAGGCTGAGGCAGGAGAATCGCTTGAATTTTGAGGTGGAGGTTGCAGTGAGTTGAGATTGTGCCACTGCACTCCGGCCTGGGTGACAGGAACAAAACTCTATGTCAAAAAAAACAAGAAAGAAAAAGAAAAAAAGAAAAGGAAAGAAAAGAAAAAGAAACTGAGCTTCTGGCTGCCTTTTATGGGTTGAATCATGTTCCCCCAAAACAAAATATCTAAGAATGTGACCTCCTTTAGAAATAGGGTGGTGCAGATGTAATTAGTTAGGATGAGGTCACATTGGAATAGGGTGGGCCCTTCATCCAGTAGGGCTGGTGTCCTAATAAGAAGAGGGAGGATGATACAAAGACAGACACACATGGAGAATGCTGTGTGACCATTAGCGCAGAGGCTGGAGTGGTGCTGCCACAAGCCCAGGACTGCCGGCTGCCACCAGAGCTAGAAAGACACAAGGAGGGATTTTAGCCTCAGGAACGACGAGCATTTATGTTGTTTTAAGCCACCCAGTTTGCAGTAAAACTAAAGGAAACCAAAACATCTTTTGAATCCAAATTCCTGGCCCTACCTCTGCCTAACAGGACAGCCTTAGGAGCAGACAGAATGGGGTTTGAGTCTCAGCTCTGTTAGACCACCTGCTGCATGGCTTCGGAATTAAGCTAATAACCTCCTTGGCGACTCTGTTTCCTCATCTGCAAATCGAAGATGAACATAGCTCCTTTAAAGACTGGTAAACATTTACAGGAGTGTGTGGCACATAAATGACAACTAGTAATATGAAGGAACTGCTTCCTGTCAGTATCTGGCTCCCATGCTTGCTTCCTATTGAGGGAAACAAGTCTAAAGCCTGCTCTTAGAATACAGATCAATGCCACCGATTATTCAGATACAACGAATTTTCTTCCTTTTTTTTTAATTTAAAGAAAAGAGATAATTCCGTGTTTGCTATGTGGTGCAGGAAGCCCTCTTTCCCAGGATAAGAGGGTGCTAGCTCCTTTATGTGGGGCGCCCACCGTTGCCCAAGGACAGAGCCTCCTCCAGCCAGCCAGGGGAGGATGGAGAGGGTGCAGGTGCTGCCCAGGCCAGTCATCTGTCTGCCTATCTGGGGACATTCAGAGCAGCCGGTGTCATTAATATCCGCTCTTCACAGTTTCATCTCTGCTCGTGATGGCTGTGCTGATTGTAGTGCAATAAAGCTTGAGTTTTGGGGGGAGAAGGCTGTCCCCGGTTATTTCATTTAGAAGCCACCGTAATACTCTTCAGGGAGAGATAAGAATGATTTAAGTAATTCAGGACTCCAGGAGTCCAGGACGTTTATGGTTCCTTCTAACCCTGGGGAATTTTATGATTGGAGGCTTGTGGCCACAGAGTAAAGCCACCTGCTGTTGATATGAGGAACAGATTTAACAGGTGTAAGCGCCTATTGGTGCCACGTGATTATACACAGCTGTTCCTGTTTACCTCGCAACAACCTTTAGGGCACGTGGGGCCAGGTTCCCTGGAAGTGGACCCTATATAAAGATTCCTGTGGGCGGACGCCATGGTTTATGCCTGTAATCCCAGCACTTTGGGAGGCTGAGACAGGAGAATCACCTGAGGTCAGAAGTTTGAGACCAGCCTGGCAAACATGGTAAAAACTTGTCTTTACTAAAAATACAAAAATTAGCTGGGCATGGTGGCTTGTGTCTGTAATCCCAGCTACTTGGGAGGCTGAGGCAAGAGAATCGCTTTAACCTGGGAGGCAGAGGTTGCAGTGAGCCGAGATCGCACCACTGCACTCCAGCCTGTCTTAAAAAAAAAAAAATCCTGTGTATGTGACTTATCACGTAAGAACTCCCAGGGGAAACTGGCAGAAGAGAAGGGGAGGGGGTGGAGAAGGAAAGAAGCCCCAAAGAGCATGATTTCGGGCTGCGACCTTTGAAGGGGAGCTTGAGTTTGCTCCTGCAGGGAACTCTGGAGGGTACAGTGCACCTCCCCTGGATGCCAGAAAGCTGGCATTCCATATCCCTGCACCCACCGGTCACTGGCTGTGGGCCTCGAGGCTCAGAATAAATAAACTCCCAGGCACCTGTGGTCCATCTGTGCCTGTAAAAGGCTTTAGTAACCCAAGGCCAGCAGATCAACAATGAGCAGGAATAAACAGAACACAAGGACATCCGGGTGGAAGCCACCAGTACCTGCACATGCAACTATGAAGATATTTTTCAGAGTAAGCAAATGTGGGAAGTAGGAAATTTCCTTTTTAAAGTTTCCTTTCTTGTTAAAGAGTAAGTGAGCTAGTAGGTCTCTGTTAAGACCTAACCTATGTAGCTGTTAGACATACCATACTTAGAGGCATATAGTACATTCTTTGTTCTTGTAGTTTAACCAAGGTATCTGTGCTGGACCTGCTTACAGGCATGTCCCAGCTCTCCATTGCTTTTTTTTTTTTCTTTTTTTCTTTTTTTTAACCTCTCTGGAAAAGTTTCAAGTTGTTAGCCAGTCAAGTTTTAGTTTAGATTGTGAGTTCTAGTTCTAGCCAAAGGAGATCAGACATAGCAGCAAGGACAACCCCAAATGCGTAAGGGATACATTTGTGTGTTTTCCTTTGTTCATTGTACTCTCGTGGCACGATGGCAAGTGAGGGTACCCTTCCTGCAGTCCAGGAAGTAAAAATTGTGTTGCTAAAAAATCCTTTGTCTCAGTGCTAATTTTTCTTTGCAGCACCAAGCATCTATTTCCAAGAGAAAAAGAGGCTCACAGTGTGAAATAACACTCTCTGGAAAGGTGAGTGGCCAGCCAGGTCTGGATTTGAACCTGTGATTCCAGAATGTTTATTCTTTCCACTGAGATAGCTGGATTGCTGGTGTCTGGGGACCAGTGGCTGACAGCATTGACTTCCCATGTTTTTCCTGTTAAAAGCATTTCTGTTACAGTTTTCATGCCTAAAAAAGCAATAAGTAGCAATAAGAACAAGTGATTTACTTCTCACACATAATGTGGACAAATCTCACTAGAGTTCTGATGATTGAAAGAAGCTGGACACAGAGAGAGAGAGAGAGAAAAAAAACTCTGGTGATAAAAGTCAGTGTCTTGACTCTCTGGGTGGGCATTAGGGACTGAAAGGGAACCCCAAATGTACCTCTTGGGAGCTGGTCATGTGTAGGGTCTTGATTTGGGTTCACAAATAGGTTCAGTTTGTTAAAATTACTCAAGCTATGTACTTAAGGGATGTGTGGTTTCTATATGCCTGTCGTGCCTCAATAAAAATTTAAATTGAAGAAATAAGTGAAAAGGTAGAAAGGGAGAAAATAAAATCGGGCATCATCCCATTCACTCAGAAATCACTATGATTAGCCAGGCATGATGGCAGGTGCCTGTAATTCCAGCTACTTGGGAGGCTGAGGTGGGAGGATCACTTGAACCCGGGAGGCGGCAGTTGCAGAGAGTTGAGATCGTGCATTGCACTCACTTCAGTCTGGGCAACAGAGCGAGACTCTGTACCCTCTCCTGACCCCCAGGCAAAAAAACAAAAACAAAAACAAAAACCAAAAATAAAAACACTATGCTTAATGTTGTCTTGATATATATCTTGTAAAATGTTCTCATGTGTGCACATGCGCACAAACATACCCGCAAACACATGTGATGGAGTTTCTGGTTGTGTTGGGGTGATTAT